CTACGCACTATCCACTTATCACACTTCACTACTCGCTGCTCACTCTTCAGAACTCACTACTCACTATCCACTACTCGCTACTCCCTGCTCATTACACAATATTCACCACTTACCACTCACAACTGGCTACTCCCTACACCCTACACGCTACCCAGTACGCACTACGCACTACCCACAACTCACTACGCACTAAGCTCCCACTACTCACTACTCAGTACTCCCTACTTGCTACTCCCAACTCACTAGCCACTACTCACTACCCAATACTCACTACTCACTGAACACGACTCCCTGCCCACTACTCAGTACTCACCAAGCACTGCTCACTACCCACTCCCCACTATCCACTACTCACTACTGAGTACCCACAGTTCACTACTCACTACCCATTGCCCACAACTCACTACTCACTATCCGTTGCCCACTACTAGCTACTCCCTACTCCCTACACAGTGCTCACTGCTCACTACTCACTACTCCCTGCTCTGATCACTAGTCACAAGTCGCTACGCTACTCACTACTCGCTATTGAATACTCACTATTCACTACCCACGACCCACTACCCACCACGAGCGACTTACTACTGACTGCGCAATATTCAGTAGCAACTACGCACTACTCACTACTCACTACCAACTACTCCCTACTCCCTACTCCCTACTCGCTAGTCACTTGTCGCAAGCCGCTACCCACTACACTATCCAATACTCACTACTCACAACTTACGACTCACTACTCACTACTCACTACTCACTACTCCCTACTCCCTACTCACTACTGACTACTCACTACTCACTACTCGCTACTCCCTACTCGCTACTCATTACGGACTACTCTCTCCTCACTGCTCACTACTCACAATGCCCTATTCACGACTCACTATTCACTACTCGCTACTCCCGGCTCGCTACTCACTACGCACCCCCCGCTCCCCACGACCCACTATTCACCACGCACTACTCACTGCGCACTACTAACTACTCACTCCTCACTACTCGCCTCACTACTCACTATTTATTCACTACTCACTACTCACTACTATCTACTCACTACTCACTACTCGTTCCGAGGCCAGACCCCCCCTCCCTTGTGGGAGAGGCCCCCTCCCCGGCCCTCTGTTCGGCGCACAGGGGGGGGGTCGAACCCCCCCCCTTTTCCAGCGCTGAAGGGGGGATGGGTGGGGTCGAAAATCTCACCCCCCCTTTGAAGGGGGGAGGGGGGGGGTTCGGACCCCCCTCCCTTTTCAACTACAGGGTGATCCAGTGGCGCGCTTTCGGAGATCAGAGTCTGGAGGAACGAAACTTTGATGAGCACCTACCGCCCAACTTCCGACGTACATGCATAGACGTGGGCGCACGCTCCTGGACATCATAATGTTTGAGATGGTCACGAACCCCTAGGCACCCGCAAACGTAGCCCACATATGGGCTGTGCATCCTGGACTCTGTAGCCTGCCCCGCGCGGTGACGCTAGGTGGCACCTCGCCAGGACGGAGGGAGCGCACGCACCGCTGGAAGCACCTGCGACCACTGTGGAGATATCATCGGCGCAGTGGACCCCGAACCATCGCTATGGAGGGGTAGGAGGAGGAGGAGGAGGAGGAGGAGGAGGAGGAGGAGGAGGAGGAGGAGGAGGAGGAGGAGGAGGAGGTGGAGGAGGAGGAGGAGGAGGAAAGAGGAGAGGAGGAGGCGGAGGAGGAGGAGCACCAGTGTAAACCCAAAAGTCATCAACGATGTTGGAATAAACCTCCCTCCAAGCTCCCTCTTCATAGGCCCCCACAACGGTTCATTTCTACTGAGGGAACTGCCTCGTTGGAACACAACGTTTGAACAGCCTGAAGCGTGCCAAAACAATCTTCTCGGGACTCCAACGCCACGGATCAACCTGACTGTAGCGTCTTGACGATCCTGAATCGTGCCAGAGCGCCATTCCTGGGACTTCAACACCGCGAATCAACGTATCCGGAATCTTTCCAGAACTCCATGTCTGGTACGTCGGCCATGGGAGCCCTTGAAACTTTTGCAGCTCTAAGAAAGAATGTGCGCGGCGCTACAGCGAGATCCACATTATGAGAACGACCCACCCCCAAGCCGTGAAACTCTTGCAACTGTTTTAAATGAATGTGCGCGGCGCTAAAGCGAGAATTATATTTTGAAAACGACCCGGCCCCAACCCGTGAAACTCTTGCAATTTCAAAAACGAATGTGCGCGGCGCTAAGGCGAGAGCCACATTTTGAAAACGACCCGCCCTCCATCTGTAAAGCTGTTTCATTCATCGATAGTGAGGAAATATCCGGCGAAACGCCTGGCCCGCCCTTTCGACCGGCCTCGGGGTGCGACAGGGAGAATATATTTAAAAGGAACATGAAAGGAGGAGGAGGACGAGGAGGAGGAGGAGCAGGAGGCGTGCAGGGGCGGTCGGGCAGAGGGTGGGGATAGGAAAGGGGCGGCGGGGATCGGTCGTCGCGTCGGCGGGGGTGATGGGCGTCGTGGTCGGCGTCTTCGCGATCACTGCTGTTGCCGTTGTCGCAGTCGTGATCGTTGTCAAGGGGCTGCCGCCGCAGCCGTGGCCCGTCGGGCAGCCGCTGTGGTCGCGGTCACAGTCGTGGGAGTGGCCCCCGTATGAGCGACCGTAGCCACGCCCGCTGCAGTATGCCCTCGGCACGGCTGTACAGTCGAGCGTCTGCCACAAGGAACGCTCCCCCCCCCTAAAGCGGATGGGTGCACGAGGAGCGCTGGATGAGCAGCCGTGGAAGCATCCAAAAGAACAACGGGCCCCTTCCGAACCAGACCTGTTCCTAATTGTCGGCGTCTTGACTGTCGCCGCGGCCGCCGCGTCGAGCGCAGGTGACCGCGGCGCGGCGGTGGTGGTGGCAGTCCTGGGGAACCGCCAGCCTGGCGTCCGAACGCGCCCAGCGGCACCTCAGCGGGCACCCTTGCGTTTTTCCCACCCATCCTGTGGTATGTTGGGTCCTCGGTTTGAAGAGACAGCGCCCCGCGTTCGTCTCCTCTCCTCTCCTCTCCTCTCCTCTCCTCTCCTCTCTTCTCCTCCTCCCTCCTCCCATCCTTGCCTTGGCCATCTGCAGTCCTCGTTTTGAAGGGCCAGCGCCCTGCGCTCCTTCCTCGTTCCTCCTCCCCCTCGTCCCTCCTCCGATCCTCATCCTCATCCTCATCATCGTCATCATCGTCATCATCAACAAGTAATAATGATCATCACCATCATCAGCATCATCCTCATCATCATCCCCACTCATCACATCATCATCATTATCATCATCGTCGTCGTCGTCGCCGTCGTCGTCGTCATCATCAGCATCGTCATCAGCATCATCATCATCGTCGTCATCATCATCATCATCATCATCATCATCATCATCATCATCATCATCATCATCATCTTCATCAGCACCCTCATCATCCTCACCATCATCATCATCATCCTAAAATCATCATCATCAACACCATCGTCATCATCATTAATCCGCATCACCATCACCACCTTCATCATCATTATCACCAACATCATCACCACCATCACCACCATGATCATAATCACCACCACCACTATGATCATCATCCTCATCCTCATTCTCATCATCCTCATCGTCATTGTCATCGCCATCGTGGTCGTCATCGTCGTCGTCGTCATCATCATCAGCACCACCATTACCATCACCATCACCACCATCACCATCACAATCACGATTACCATCACCAACACCATCACCATCATCACTATCACCGTCATCGTCGCCATCACCGTCGCCATCATTATCATCATCATCCGCATCATCACCATCATCATCAACATCAGCATCATATTCAACACCACCATCATAATCATGATCATCACCATCAGCATCACCATCACCATCATCCTCATCGTCGTCATCATCATCACCATCACCACCATCGCCATCACCATCATCAGCAGCATCATCATCAGCATCCACATCGCCGTCAATGTCATCATCATCTTCATCATCACCTGCGTCATTCTCATCCTCATCATCGTGAACTCAGCACCATCCAAATCGACTTTCCCGACCCCGCTCTAAGGAGAGGCCCGAACACCAGAGCCCCTCCTGAGCCCAAGGCGGTCCCTGTCTCAGCGTTTTGACTGCACGGCGCTGCAGCGCGCCCCTCCCAGTTGAGAAGTGCGAGTGGAGGACTTCCGCTGCCCGCAGCGTCGCCTCCGCCTGGTCGAACATCCGCTGCTTCCGCGGGCAGTGGCATCAGGACTCCTCGCTCGAGTTGCCCCCAAGGCAGGCCATCACGTCGTGAAGCATGAGGGTCTACCTGGCAGCGTAGGCGCCGGGCGCTGTCGGGGTCGCCGAGGGTGAAGCACACCCGCCATCGGCAAGGCTGGGGCGTGGGTCGGAGGCGCTGCCGGGGGTCCAAAGGTTCGGCCGTGAGCTGTCGGAGGCAGCCGGGGGGCGTGTGGTCGAGCCGCTGCGTCCTGTGCTCTCCCCCCTTCCGTGCCTCGTCGTCCACCGCGCAAGACCCCTGCTCATTTGGAACCGCACGGATGGGGAACCGCCATCCTTTGGCCCTCCTCCTCGGCTCCTCCCTCAACCTGCACTGACGAGCGACGACACACAGAGAAGTGAGCCGCAAAACAGCATCATTATCTTGTTCCTTTCTATCTCTTTCCCTCCCCATCTCTCCTTCTGGTCCTCCTCCTTTTCCCCATCCTGGCCCTAGTTCTGGTCCTCCTCGTCCGCCTCCTCTGCGTCCTTCGCCTCATTTTATCCGTCTTGCTCCCTCCCACCCCTGTGTTGATTACGCTGCTGCCCTCCTCTGCATACTCCTTCATACCTTCTCTCCGCTCCCTGCTCCCTGATCCCTGCTTCCCTTCCTCCCTCCCTCCCTCCCTCCCTCCCCCCTTCTCTCTCCTTCATCCTTCCCCCCTCTTCCTTCCCTCCCCCCGCCGTCCTTCGTCCCACCTCTCTCCCCTCCTCTTGCCCCTCGTGCTCCACACATGTCGGTACGAGAGCATCTACACCGAAAAAGTAGGTTCGATCAGCAGGTTGGCAAGCACCGGCGAAGGCTGCTGCGGCGATTTTGGGGAACACTGCGGCGACGGATGTGGTGAGCTCGATCTGCTGTTCCTCGCGGGGGGAGTCAGGTGGAGGAGGACGCCGAGTGTGGATGGGAGAAACAGGGGGAATGAAGAGGACGAGAGGGACGTATAAAGGGATGGGGCGCCTTGGCCCACTGTGCACGGCTGGCAGGCGACAGGCCGTCTGCTCTTGGACCCCCCGCCCTACACTTTCTCGCCGAGAACCGATCCTGACCCCCCACCAGGCCCCACCCCCCTCCCGACGCCCCACCGCCCTCTGGAAACCCTGCTCTTGAGACCCCAGCACCCTAAAATTTCTCGCCCACCAGCAGGCCTCCACCCCCGGCTCCTGGAAAGATCGTGCGAGAAGCTGGGGCGGAAGCTGCTGCTCCTGTGGAGCACAGCGCTGGCCGCCTGGGCGAGGCGCGAAGGAGCTGCCGAGGGACCCGTCGGCGCCCGGCCCCCGCACCAGCACTAGCTGAGCCGTCGGGAGTACAAGCCACGAGAGATGCGAGCCCTGTGCTGTAGAAGTCTGAACCAGGTGCGGCGGAGCAGCCCAGGAGCCGCGAGGCCAGCCCCTCCCCGCGCGCCGCAGACCCTGGCAGCCCGAACCGCACGCGCAGAGAGTTGCAGGGCCGCATTGCCAGCACTTGACCCACGCGCGCCTCCGCTCGCAGTGGCAGCGCGGCTCGAGCTGCCGCGGCGGGAGAGCCGAGGCGGCCGCGTCGCGGCTCGAGGAGAGCTCGAGAGCCGATGACTGCTCGGGGAGCCTGTCCGCATCCCGCCACTCGTGCCCAGCACTCCTCCTCCTCCTCCTCCTTCCCACCTCCGAAGGAGACGAGGCGGACGCTCCCGCTTCCGCCTCGCCTCCCGATCACCCCCCGCACCGCCGCCAGAATGTCAGGATGCGTTTTTGCTTCCTCTCGCGCGCCCCTGATCGAGATGCGAATACACTAGACATACAAATGCTGCGATTGGTACTGCTCCCCTTTCCTCTTCCGTGAGTAACTGCGTCTCCTGCGGACTGCCTCCCACACTTCTGACGCGGCCGTGTCTGCAGCGATTACTACAAATACTGTTGGTTCAGGATAGGTTCTGGGATGTCGGGAGTTTCTGGCGGCCCTCGGCCATTCGTACTTGTCCATTCGCATCTGGCTGCGCGGGACAACAGGAAAACCTGGATGCACAGGGGCGTATCATCATCGTGGTTTCTTGCTTCTCCGACGGACGTCAGGCTGTATGCAAGCGCCTCTCTTCGCCGGCGAGTCGGGCCGAACCAGCCATGCGCTCCCACGCCGTGGTGCGTGCAGCTCGCACATCCGCCTCCAACGTGTGCGCCCTCGTCTTGCGCACGGGCGCACCACCGTCGAGCGCAGCAAAACAAGAAAACGCCACCCTCCCCCACGCGTGGGCTTCGGTCAGGCCCTGTCGGAAGCGCAGCCGATGGCAGCCGAGTGGCCGCACCATACTTCGAACGGCACATGGCCACCTGAGGCAACATGGCGAATGCACACAATGCGACCGGATCATAAGGTCACGCAGTAAGGATGCCAAGCCCTTTGACGCCCAAGGTGATGCCGAACGTGGAAGTCGATGGCCCATGGCTAAGGGTTAGGATGGGCCGAGAGGGAAGGGTACCTTTGGAAAGCCATTCATCCGTATATGATCCTGACTGGCTGAACCCTCCCTGTCCCTGGTTTGCTGCTGCTGGGAATCAGATTTCGAGGGCACAAGTGCAGAGCACGTGGCAAGCATGGTGCACCTTCCGTCTACCATCACGGCCGACCAGCTGGCCCGACGGACGAGAGGGTGCGAGCCACCCGTGACGAGGCGGCCATTGAGTACGCCCCCCAACCGGACGGTCCGACACTGCTCGAGGCGATGCGCAGGCGGCACGGTGGCCCTCAGGAGGAGGACGCGGAGGAGGAGGAGGAGGAGGAGGAGGAGAAGGAGGAAGGGGAGGAGGAGAAGGAGGAGGAGGAGGAGCAGGGGTGCCAGCTCCCAATTAGACCAGAAAACAAACGACACCACCCCACCTACGTCCCCACGGGCCGTAGCATATACCACGAATTCCAGCTTGGGCTTCTGCCTGGTATACGCCACGGCCCCCGATAGGCCGTAGCGCAACATGGAGGGCCGCAGGTGGGGTGGTGTCGTTGGTGTCTTGGTCGAAGGGAAAGCAGAGACCTGACAGTAACGACGAGGAGAATGCAGAGGGAGGGCATGGATGAGGCGGAGGAGGTGCAGGGAGGATAGAGGGTGGATGGAGCAGGAAGAAGGAGGGCTTGAGGAAGGGCGAGAGCGAAAGGAGTGAGAACTGGGACTGGGGACGGAAAGGATACTAGAACCACGCGCGCGCTTCGCGCTTAGGTTTTCAGCTAGGTCGGATATGCCATCTCTCGAAACGGTCGTCGTTGGGCGATCTCGAAAATTCCTTGAGACGTCCGACGGAGGTGCCAAACAGGTGGCTGGCCCCACGGTCTCAGGCCAAGAACGCTCCAAGACGGCCCAAGATGGCTTCAAGATGACCCGAATGGGTCGCAAGACGGCCCAAGAGAGCTTCGAGACAGCCCAATATCGCCTCAAGACGGCCCGAAAGATCTCCAAGAGGACCCTCGAGAGGGCCTCAAGAAGGAATTGTTCGCACGTCATTTTCGGAAAACGTTCGTTTGTAGCATACCTACTCGCCTTATGTCTCCAAGACGATTTGCGAGGTACCAAGAACGCCCCAAGACGGGCCAGGAGGCTCCCAATCGCGCCCCGTTCCCAAGAAGGCCCGAGAAGCTCCCGAAGGGACCTCCAAGAGGCCCGTAGAGGCCCCAAGATGCTCCCAAAAGACTCCCAAGAGGCCCCCAAGAAGGCTCCGAGAAACCTTCAAAACGCTTCCAAGAGCCAGATGCCCCCCAAAGACCCCAAAGGGGATCAAACATTAGTCCCGGAGACTTCCGAGAGGCCTCCAAAGAGTCCCCTCGAAACCTCCCAAAGAAGCCTCTTGTCAACGACCCTGTTTGGCCCCAGGAATGCTCCAACCACCCATCGATAGGCTTCCTCCTCCTCCTCTTCTTCCCTATTTTGCTCCTCATTCTCATCACCCCTTCCTCCACATCCTCTCCTCCTTCTCATTTCTCTCCTCCTCGGCCTGCCAACTGACAGAGAACCAATTACCACCACCATGAAATTTCCCAATCGCCATGAGCACACAATAAGCGGAAACAGGCATACAGTACTGGCCGGCGGAACAAGCGAAGCGATTCAATCAATAATCGTCAGATGCGGCACGACTGCAGGACAAGTCCCGGCGGCGCGTGGGCGCTTCTGTGTGGGTCGGTGACTCGGGCGGACGCTGTGTCATGGTGACGTCGACAGCGGCAGAAACGGTGATGATAGTATAGACGATGGTGACGATGATGGCGATGACGACGGCAAGGCCAATGTCGGCGCCGATGCTGGTCACGCCGGTGACGATGATGAAGTCCACGTGCCGCCGATGAAGGTTTTAACAGGACTTCGACATGCACGTGCGGCCAACGCGCGCGAGTGGCCCGCATGGTACTATTTGGCAGGCAGGGTGCCCCCGCAGCAAGCGCGCCAGAGCGTCCGAGTAATTTCGAGACGCGCACGCGAGAGGCCCGCGTGAGACCTGGCGACTCCCTGGGGGGCTGTGAAGTGTGAAGCTGGCGATACTGTCGTGGATGACTGAAGACGGGCAAGGTCCTGCATGACTGAAGACGGCGCCCGCCAGCAGTTGGGGCCGCGGTTCTGTGCACGATCGCTAACACTTCAACGGCGCCTGGCGGCGACGCCTTCAGCTGGCGGCGATGAGTCACATACAGAAGAAGCAAGACCTCCCATAGAGCGCGGCGCTCTTTTGTTGCCACCTTTGGGTGCTTTTGGCTCCTCGCATGGCCCTGCTCTTTTTGCCGCGTTCGTGTGCTTGGTGCCTCTCGTTGCCCTCGTAGCCCCGCTCTTTTGTATCCACTTTTTGGGCGTTTGTCTTGTTGCACTCCGAAGTGCTCTCTGCGCAGTGTAGATCTTTCAACAATTTCGTTTATATTGAGCGGTCCTCTGTGTAGTCGCCCCATGCTCCCAACGGGTGGGGTACGTCCCCGGGTCATTTTCCTTAGGTGTTTGAAAGATGTTGGCCTTTGCGGCCTCCTGGGGAGGTTCCGTGGCCTCTTGGGGCCATTTTGGAGCGGTCTTGGGGCCCCTAGGAGCAGTTTGGGAGCCATATGGAGCTATCTTGAATCATCTTGGAGGTCATCGCGGGCTTTCTGAGACCCTCTTGGAGCCATCTTGGGCCACCTTGGACGCTCCAGCGCCTCGCGAGACCCTTCCTCCAGGTTCAAGAGGGGGGGTATGGGAGAGGGATGAAACCCCTCCCCGACGGGGACGAGGGGGGGTGGAAGAGAAACCGCCCTGGACCACCTACGCCAAAAGGGCTGGTGGAATTCCGTTTTACAGCGGGACACTCGCTAAATTGTCAGGCTGAATTGTGCTGGTCTTTCAAAGGGGGTGTCGATTGCAGTGAAATGGCAAGGCCGTGTGAGGAGGCATCTTGGGACGGGAAGGTGCACTGCCGAATTGACGACGCAATCGTTTAATTGTGGTCTTTATCCTCCTCCTCCCCCTCTTTTTCTTCTTCCTCGTCCTCGTCCTCGTCCCCGTCCCCGTCCTCGTCCTCGTTCTCGACCTCCTACTCCTCCTCCTTCTCCTCCTCCTCCTCCTCCCCCTCCTCCTCTTCCAGTCATTCGCCAGAGGATCATGATTCCCGGCGAAGGTGGGATGAAATGGTGATGGTGAAGTATGGGTGTCATCGCTCATGATGGGTTTATCAGATGTGCTTCTTAGTATTCAACAATCCGTTAATCTGATATGTGGAAGTGAGAGAGTGAGGAGGAGAAGACGACTAGAACATTAACAGCTCTCCCCGCGGTGGGTCGCGTAGACCTTGCGCTTCCAACCCGACCCAGAGAGCACCTCGGTTTCCGGGCACTCCCTAAGGCACACTGGCCCCTCCTTGCGCCAGCCCCCAAAAGAAAAAACGCTTTG